ATTAACAATGACCAGTAATTAACTATGATCAGCAAGCTTCGATGCAAATTAAGTTACTCAGAATAGTAAGTATCTATGACTAGTAAGTAAGTATGATCAGTAAGTATCTATGACCAGTAAGTAACTCTGATCAGTAAGTACCTATAACTAGTAAGTATGTATGATCAGTTACTAACTTTGAACACAAATAAACAATGACTTGCAACTTTTGTAACACAACACATATCTGAGACCTGGCCGGCAGTAGTCACTTCGTTCCGGGGATGTTAGAACAAATTGGGAATCATAAAAACACCAGTGCGACATTTGTTTTGGAGCAAATTTAATTGCAAGCTATTTGAATGAAACTATGGACTTATTCTATATTATTTTACTAGTATACAAATCGGAGCATGGCGAATCGGTGGACTATATATATACATATATATATACTATATATATACATATATATAGTTGCCATAGGAACAATCGGACGATTTACAGAACTATTATCAGTAATTAACTATGACCATTAATTAACAATGACCAGTAATTAACTATGATCAGCAAGTTTCGATGCAAATTAAGTTACTCAGAATAGTAAGTATCTATGACTAGTAAGTAACTATGATCAGTAAGTATCTATGACCAGTAAGTGACTCTGATCAGTAAGTATCTATAACTAGTAAGTATGTATGATCAGTTACTAACTTTGAACACTAATAAACAATGACTTGCAACTTTTGTAACACAACACATATCTGAGACCTGGCCGGCAGCAGTCACTTCGTTCCGGGGATGTTAGAACAAATTGGGAATCATAAGTATACCTGTGCGACATTTGTTTTGGAGCAAATTTAATTGCAAGCTATTTGAATGAAACTATGGACTTATTCTATATTATTTTACTAGTATACAAATCGGAGCATGGCGAATCGGTGGACTATATATATACATATATATAGTTGCCATAGGAACAATCGGACGATTTACAGAAGTATTATCAGTAATTAACTATGACCATTAATTAGCTATGACCAGTAATGAACTATGATCAGCAAGTTTCGATTCAAATTAAGTTACTCAGAATAGTAAGTATCTATGACTAGTAAGTAACTATGATCAGTAAGTATCTATGACCAGTAAGTAACTCTGATCAGTAAGTATCTATAACTAGTAAGTATGTATGATCAGTTACTAACTTCGAACAGAAATAAACAATGACTTGCAACTTTTGTAACACAACACATATCTGAGACCTGGCCGGCAGTAGTCACTTCGTTCCGGGGATGTTAGAACAAATTGGGAATCATAAAAACACCAGTGCGACATTTGTTTTGGAGCAAATTTAATTGCAAGCTATTTGAATGAAACTATGGGGTTATTCTTCTTTATAATTTTACTAGTATATAATTTTGTGCATGGCGAATCGGTGGCAATATATATACATTTATATAGCTGCCATAGGAATGATCGGAAAATTAAGAAAAAAATTATAACTTTCCAGTTTTTAACAGATTTTTATCAAATTTAATATATATATCCATTATTAGCTTCGCTTCTTGTTTGATAGTAAGATTCAAAACCAGCTCATAAGGTATCTAGCTCTATTATCATTCTTAGTCTTAACAAACTTTAATATATGTATATTTAAAAAAATTTTCCCTCAGTGCAACAGCTAAACAGTGATGTAAACAAAGTCTCCAACACACTATGAGTCATCATCCATCCACTTGGAGAGGCAGCGAAAGCCCTCGGCATGGGGCTGGTCGTGTAACTGGAACTGCAATCGCTTTATGATTCAGTTCCAGGTTGCACGAGGAAGTGCAGCATAAATCAGATTCCCAAACATAAAGAGACTGCCTGGCGGACACTACGTGCCATGCCAATCAAGACCCGTGTGATGCAGTCCTCGAAAAATGCATGACAACAAATTCAACTGACAAATGGCCGCACACAAGGCCGACAAGTGCTACTCCTCCTCCTCCTCCGCCTGCCTTCCTCCGAGCTCTGCGTGTGTCATTGCAGCAGCACTCGATATTTCTGTATGCACTTTTAGTGACCCCGTCCCGTCCCTTCCAGCGTTCGAGCAGCCGAGTGCCATGTGCCATGTGCTAGTGGGGGCGCACCACAATAGAGGACTGGCGGCAGACTCTAGCGGGTGTCCTGGCCTACCCCACGCCAATGACATTGAACCCGCAAAGTCTGAGGGCGCCCTTTTGTGGCGTTTCCTGGAGCAGCATGGCGTGCATAAAATTACCCGAACGGTTGACACTTTTGGGGAGGGTTTTTGGCTGCACAAGAGCCGTGAATAATTTACTCTTCTTTTGTTTTAGGAATTTTTCAAATACATAATCAAGCCATATTTGCAAATATATGTTCACAGGGCTTTAAAAATGTAAAATCGAAGTAAATTAATAATTCCTTAAGTTGTTTATTCTTGTTTATCAATTAATTATTTATTTCTTAGACTGCAATATAAAGAATAAGTGATACAAATATTCAGTTTTAAGAAGCTCCTATAATCTCGTAAATAAATGGAAATTGATTATGATTTCATTCAATAAAACTCAGTAAATAACTAAGCGAATTCTTGGTTGACAAATAGCTACAGAGAGAAGAATATATATCAAAGTTCAGCCGTTGCATCTCTTGCATCGAAATGCCAAGGAACTAAATCAACCCTTAACTGACGAATTCGGCCGACGGGACGGGCAATGCACCCTTTGTAGGTCAGTTAAGGGGGTGGCGTGGGAGGCGCCTATAGGTATCTGTAGAAAAGGGGGGGCTCCCGTTTGTTGGCCTTTTGGTGTTGCTGCTGCAACCGCTTTCGTCATGCGTCGCGTGCCAGGCGTTTTGCTTAATGTGATTAAGACAAAGCGACAGCAAACACAAAACGCGAAGTGCATTCGCCGCTGATGATGGAACCAGAAACAAATCAAAGCGCACCCCCTGAGTTTGTTGCACCCGGGTTTTTCTTTTAGCCGGTTCGGCTTTGAAAACGTTTTCCATGTTTGCCACAGAGGAAAACTATGGAAACTAGACCAAAATAAATAATGTCTGTGTGTCTACCCTCAAAGTTAGTTAGTTGAAGTACCAAATTTCTAAGATTTATATTGTAGTTTTTCCATAATTTATAAATCTGGGTGAAAACAATTCTATCCCCTTCATAAAATACCGATTTAACTATTGAAATACCTTACTAATTTCAAAATGTAATAATTTTTTACAAAGCTATCTTTGCCCGTATCTTGGCAAATGCAATTATATATACACACCATCATTAGGCATGAATGCCATAGCGAATTTGGCCAGGCGATAAGATAATAGTTAAAATATGTATGCGCAATATACATACGTACAAACAATTGTACATAATATGAAGAGGCCTCTAGATATTCCAATTTCCAGGCGGCCGTGCAAATTTTGGGCTGATAAGACCCGAGAGCTGGTATCGATAAGACACCGAATTTACGGGACACAGCAGTGAATTAAATGCACTTAATTGAGTGCAGAGAAACGAGTTGGATTTACAAACAGACTCACCTTGAAGCGGGTTTTCGATTTTGGATCGGCCTCTGTGTGCTGCTTCTCTGAATGAAATTCTCAGATCTCCGGCGCTTTTCGATGGCTTTACGCTTTCGCAGGTGATGTGGTGGACGATTTTCGGCTCTGTGCAATGGAAGGCAATGGAAGTTGTATTAGCATCCCCAAGGTTTTTCCATTGGATATTCACTGGAACCGTTGGAATTCGTAAATTTTTAATACGCGCGCGATCGTTTATGTACGCAGGTGTTGTATGTACATATGTATGATGTATGTTGTATGTGTGTTCTGTGCCGTGTCTGTTGTTTGCTGCCCATGGGCAACAAATGCTCCTAAATCGCGAATAAATTGTAGAAATATGTAAAGGTCTGGCGGGCTGAGATATGCCTGCCTAAACTGTGTTCGTAGAACTACTATTAAATTTAACTAATTTTCATTTGGACACAAACACAGGCACACTGCGACAGCACACTCTCACTCACGTACACACACACAGGGTCTTTTGAGTTTCGTCAGTTTTTGCGGTGGTTTTACGAGGTTCCAACACTTCCCGAAATGCCTATTTACTTCGATATGTGGAGATCTAGCGTTGCAGCATCGTTTATCTGCTCCGTATCTTAGGTTTTTCCACGCATTTGGTTTAGAAAACAAAAAATTTATTGTGCTGCTGGCTGTAAGTGTGACCGAGCGGCGCGACCTTTAAAATATTCCAAGCTGGAAATATACCAAAAAGTAAGACAGAGTGGCCACCTAACCGACCCACAATATTTTAAGAAATATAGACGATATTTTTAAAAATAATTCATAACATTGTAAATATATATCAGTATTTTAACACAATTATGCATTAATTTTAAATTGGAATGTTTTCTTATGCTAGTTTTGATTAGGTCAATAAATCTGCTTACTTAAATACAAATCTCAAAATTAAAATATATTACAGATGTGCCCTTTAAACAATTACAAAATTTTTGTTTTGCGGGAGATGGCTAAATCGACTGGGCTGTTGATGCTAATCAAGGAGATACATAATTTATAGGGTTGGAAATTAATTCACATCTTTACAAGCTTTAAAATATATATTCAACACCTACAAGGGTACAAGGATAGATTAAAATAGTAAATAGAAATACAAGGAACTTTTCTTGACAGATCGTTTCAATAATAGATATATCATGTAGTACTTCGATTTTACCAATGATCTTCAAATACTCTTTAGCTTAAAAATGAAATTTTCAAACTTTGCCAAACAAATTGTCAGATATATAAAAAAAACTAGCACAAAAAAGCTTTCCAAATTTAAATTAATGCATTTAATGTGTTAATTATAAATTATTTGAATTTTAAAAATTGATTTAACAAACAATGAATTACAATTTTGTTCAGTGCACTTTGAGTTGTCTAATTGTCGTTTTCAGTGTTAATATACATTTTCAGTATTTTTTCGTTTGCCCCCAAGTGTTTGATTTTATTTCCAGGTCACGGTCACTCTGGAATGAAAATTCAAACAAACCTGGCGTCCGTCTGTAAAATGTAAATGAAATAAAAGGAAAAATGGCATCCAAAGTGGAACAGCAATACAAACTTCTAAACGCGGAGCTTATGGACCAGGTGCAGAAGCAGCGCATTGAAATCGGTCTGTACAAGAAGGAACTGATAGCGCTAAAGCACGAAAACATGGAGTTGCGGGAGGCACGAATTCTGCAGATTGCACGCCAACGTCAAGATCACATCGGCATCGTAAAGAGCCTTATGCGGCGCTTGGAAATTGATGCCAAGTCTCTGACGGATATAAACCAATCCCCGGAAAAGGAGTCGATATCGTCAGAGGCTTCGTATGTGGTCAACAGGCAAAGTCAGAAGCGTCGCAGCTCCAGGGAAATTTGCCTGGAAATGAGGCAGTCCAGCGCCTTGGCTAGCAGCTCCAGAACCATATCCCCCGCCAGACGCCGTAGCACAATTTCGGAGGAACCAAATGAAGCGCCTAGACTAAAGGTAAAGTGTTCAATCAGGATAACTGGATCATTAACCCGTCTCTCCTCTTCTAACAGCACACGCCTCCGTCACGAAGGGTAGTGGAGATAGCGAATGATAGATCTGATTTAGTTAGCAGCCCCAAAACAATCTCCCCCACCAGACGCCGGGCCATAATACCGGAGGAACGAAGGAATGAAGCTCCTAAACTCACGGTAAAGTGTACAACCAGAGCAACTGGATCATTAACCCGTCTCTCCTACTCTCCCAACAGCACACGCCTCCACCACGAAGGGTAGCGGAGATAGCGATTGATAGCTCCTCCGAAGATGAAGTGGACGTAGATAACACGAGCACCGCCCAAGACGAGCAGAAGCCGATTGAGGAACTACCACCGAGAAAGAGTGACGATGACTTGGGCACCATTATCGAGGATACCGACGAGGAGACAACTGTATCTTCTTCAAGCTACTCTTCTTCGCCCATCTCCTGCGATTCAACCATTGAGGAATTCACTCTGCCACGACAAGTTCTTCGGTCACTCGATCAAAATGTAGCCAACGGCGGGATGTTGACTCGGGGGAAGGGCAAGCCCACAAAGCCCTTGGCCTTGAATAAAGATAACTCCACCGAGGAGCAGCGCAGCATACAGTTGCCAAGACTGCTGGTGACCGGACCCAGTGCCACGCTCGTTGATTCTCTGATGAGTATTCCATCGTTTGCGTCGGATGCCAGCAAATTAAGCCCCAGGCGTAGCATGTTTGAAGGAAATTTTCGATTGAGTGGCACAAACACCAGCACTCCGATTCCCAATAGGTCGTCACCACAGGGAAATATGACTGCAAAAAAGACAAGCGAAGTGTCCGCAAAGGCTAGCAGGTGGCAGCCCAACGTAAGAGTTCGGAAACTAAGGTCTGAACCCAAGGAAGCGGAGCAAACGACGGATTTGTCCACAACCAGTTTCAGCAGCAACGAGCGACGACCAAGTCGCAAGTGCCGGCCTACTCAACTATCGGAGCCCAACCTAAGAACCAAAATGCGAAACTCATCAGTGGGCAAAAAGATTAATTAAGAATTATTCATTCTTTATTATTGTTTATTTATTTCATTTCATTTTCATGTAGTCTTTGATAGAAAATATATTGTCATTTTTTAATAAAGAAAAAACTATTTTAAACCATGTCTGTCAAGAACAGCTTCTAGAAGGCGATTAGGACCAAATAGACTACATCTGTGCAAAAAGATCATTGCCCATAAGAATGAAAGACAAAATAGTCATGTCGATTGTTTAATAATACGTTTTAGTTGGGGGCACAAGTAGATTCGTCTCAGATGCACAAAAATGGTTTAGTCGCGGACACAATGCGCTGGAAACATTTACAAAAGACGTGGGGTAAGAAGTTTACAAATTACAAATTTAAATACAGTAGCAAAAGTGATTAATGGATATACGTAAGCAGGCGATAATTGCACTTGGCGAGCAGTCTGTGGACTTTTCAGACCACCTCGAACTTGCCCAAGCAGCAGTTGAGATGATCACCGGCATGGGCATGACTGTGTGTCGGCTGCTCCGTGTTCTCCTTGATCTCGCTGATGATATCTTGTATCTTATTAATAATCTGCTGCGAGTTTTCGCCTTCGCCGGCGGCGGGAGAGTCTGCTGTTGTTGCTGCTGTTTCGTGTTGTAGCACGGTCTGCCCGGGATCTGTTGGGGGCGGCTCCACGCCTAGGCTACCCACCAACTTGTTCAGCGCATCGATCTTCTCGCGCAACTGTTCACGCTCTGCTTGGAGAAGGCGCATTTGGGCGGCCTTTTCGTACTCGCGCTGCTTGAGCATGCGTCGCTGCGTCTGGTACAGGGCGATATATTCTCCAATGGTTTCCGTTTCACTCTGCAGCTGCAGGACCAGATGCTCCAAGCTATGCTTCTCCTCGGTCAGGTCGGCCACTTGGCTGATCAGGGTGGTGAAGCGCGATTGCAGACGTTCCACGGCCTCGGCGGTGGGCAGGCTACCGCCAACTGTTAAAGGTTGATTGGAATCATGTAAATGATTGTGCCCCTGGCTGGGTTCCTGCGAATGCTCGTGGGAATGCTCATTTGAGTGATCGTGTGAATGCTCATGTGAGTGATCGTGTGAATGATCATGTGAGTGATCGTGTGAATGATGATGTGAGTGATCTTGTGAATGATTGTGTGAATGGCCGGCATGATCACCATGATTGTCGTGATCATGATCATGATTATGGACTTCTTCAGCTTCATTAACTGGTCTTTCGCCTGCTTTGCTCTCCTGGCTGTTGTGGTAAGCCTTGGCCTTGAGAAAGAGTAACCATTTTCATTAAAGTTCAAGACTAACGAAGAGTTAACGCACCTCGTAATGCTGCAGGCGGTCCAGCTGCTGTTGCAGCATCAGCTGTTTTCGCTGCAGTTCCACATTCTCGTGCGACAGCCGAATCATCTCCTCGTCCTTGAACGTAAAACGCTCCTCGGTGGCATGCAGCTTTTGCTCCATGCTTGCATAATTTTGGCGTATCTCGCGATTCGCAAACTCCTCGGAATCCAGACGGATGACCAGTTCGGCCTTGTCATTAGTCAGCTGAACGAATCGCTGCTGCAGCTCGTCCAGCTGCTGTTTCATCTCTACGTTCTGGCTGAGGGCACGAGAGGCGGCCACCTTGTCGGACTCCATGGTGGCCAGAAGCTTGGTCTGATCCGGTTGCACGGCCTGCAGACGTTCGAGCTGCTGCTCTAGTTCAGACAAAGCGGACTCCTTCAGTTGAAGCTGGTCGTCCTGCGACTTTATCTTTAGCTGGAATTCATGGCGCTCAAAATCGAGGTCGGAGAGACGTTCCTTTAATGAAGCTAGTTCAGCCTGCAAAGCGACCTTAAAGAAAGTTAAGAGCAATGAGGAGCTTCTTTATTTAAGACTTTTACTTACCTCCTCAGCACTGGGCTCCTCCTCCTTGGGCGATGGCTGCTCTTGACTGACGGCCTCTTTGAACTGCGCTTGTAGGCTTAGGTTCTTCTGTATATCCCGCTCCAGGCCGCTCACATGCTCCACCAACTGACGCTCACGCTCTCTCAGAGCGTTGAGCTCCTCTGAGAGCTCTGTGTTGCGCTCATTGAGTTTGGCTATCTCACCGCTTTGGTGCTGCACATAGTTCTGGTACTGGGCACCCGCCTGCTCTTTGTCCTGCGTCAGCTGACCCACCATAGCCTGGAGGTCGCGGATCTGCTGTTCATACATGTATTGTGTCTGAACCAGCGTCTCTACACGGTTGTCGGCACTGATGCTCGACTCGTCAGAGAGCTGGCGCAGCTTTAGTTGGGCCATTTCCAGCTCATTCGATTTCGTGGACAACTGCTGCTGCAGTTCGTCCTGTCGCTGGTTGCCCTGCTTCAGCTGGGCCTCGAGTTCGTGGAGATGGGACTGCTGATCCCGGATTTGTGCCTGTGACTGCTGCAGTTGGCCTTCCAGCTGACCGTACTGTTGGCGCTGCTGCTCAACGGCAGACTGCTGATCCTGGCAGTGCTGCTGCATCTGCTCCAGGCGCTGCTGGGTCTGCTCCTTTAGGGTGCGCAGCTCCTCCAGCTCCAGGTCACGCTCGCGACAGGCCAGACGAACTTTTGTTAGCTCCGCATTTAGCTGGGCCTTCTCCGCAATGATTACCTGAATGGCCTGCAGGTTGGAGGGGTCAGCAGCGGCTATAAGGCCGCCATTGTGCGGTGAATTCGACTCGCTCTGGGTGAAAAAAGATGCCGCTGTGGGCAGGACTGTGGGCGGATCCGGCTGTTGATAGCCTCCGCTACCGGCTCCCCCGCCGCTGCCATTCACATTTAGTTCGCTGTCGGAGCGCTCGGACAAGTTGCTTGCTATGCTGACGGTGGAGGAATGCGAGTGTGACACCGCTTCCTCTGCCGCTGCTCCTCCCGTCTGACCATTGTTGTTGTTGTTGCGCTGCTGGTACTCCTTCAGCTGTGTCCACATAAACAAAATCAATATTAGAGAGCCCAATATGTTGTCCACGTCACAAGAGCAAAACAATTGTGAGCGGGGCCGTTGCCGTTTCGCACCTTTCTTCTCGCTGCGGCCAACTTCTGCGCCTTGGCATCCTGCGTCTCATCGGGCATGGCCTGTAGATGTCACCGGTATTGGGAGCAAAGCCCACAAAATTAATTTAAAACAAGGCAAAAGAGGCGAAGAGTTCTAAATGTTGATAACGAAAACGGGCGAGTGTGACCGAGTGGCGCTAAAATCTTAGCGCAAAGTTATCGCTAAACGCGTCAGTAGGGCCACACTTCACTTATGATCAATCGATAACTGCCATCCGATAGCAGCTCGGCATTTTAAAAGTTACTTTTCGCGCTCGCGGGTTAGTACAATTCTGACCGCGCAACAAGAAATCAGCGAAGGCGGACGAGCACAATGTGTCACAACAGTTCCTGGCTTATCAAGTGCTCCGTGGCACTGGCTTTCTACAGCTGCCTGTGCCTGGCACCGCCGATTGCCCATTGCAAGTACAACGTGAGCTTTGCCCAACTGGACTCCTGCGAGAGCTACTCGATCCGAGATGCGGGCTATGCCTACAGAGACTTCTTCATGGTTCACTCCCTGGACAACAACAAGGCAAAGGCCGGGGAGAGACTACATCTGAAGTTCTACGTTCTGACCACCATGGATGCCCACATCCTGCTCTCGGTGACGAACCACGTCAGACCGAACGATCGGGTGTATGAGATCGGTAGGTAGTATACGAGAAGGATAGGTAGTATCAGGTAAAAAGTTATTTTTTAAAGCTTATTAAGAAGTCTTCTAGAGTTAATAGAGAAGCAGCCTTTAAATTCTCTGACTTTCCCAGATCTTTTGACATTCATTTGGAATTGCTACAGACTTTGTATGAACTTGACATTTAGAGATAAAGATAAACAGCGTATAAAACATGTCTTGAAAGATATGAAACTTTTCAGAGTAACACGCTGGATTTAGTTTCAGCTGGCAACATAACAATTTTCTCTAATTAAAGTTTTACCTAACATATATTTATAGTTATGATCTATAAAGTACTTATGTGTTTTGTTGTCTTCATAATTTGAATTTAACTCCGAACAAAGTACATTTTTAATAGCTTCTGTTTCATTTGAGATAACAAAGAAACCTTCATTGGGAGGAGGTTACTGGGACACCCCTGACTTTACCATAGGGGCTTCGTTTTGATATGGCTTACCCTCTGCCTTGCAGTGATAGGAGCCGGCGGAAATACATTTTCCGCTATCCGCACCGCCATGGGAGTAAGGCGCGTGTCCACGAATCAAGATCGGAACTTGCTATCTCTATACGAGCCAACGCCAATTGAGATTGTCCAGACGCAGAGTGAGTCTCGGGATTTATCTGACTTTCCCAAAATGTTTTAACCATATCTCTCTCGTCCGCAGATGCCGAGCTGTTTGTTTACATTCCCGGCTTCAAGAAGGAGCCTCTGCTGCAGTTCATCGATGCCTCTGCACTAACCATTAACTACATTAGTTTCAGTTCCTTTGGCACAAATACGGCCAGATGGTTCTACGATTGCGGTTTTGATGGATTTGGTAAGGCTTAATATCAAATGAGTCTTAAAAAAAAAAACTCAGAAAAGAAAGTTTTCAAAAACCCTGATATTTTTCAGACAAGGAAATATCCGCTGATGTTAAGGCGCCAACGGTGGAGCAGAAACTCCTGGCCCAAATAAATCTACAGGCAGAGAATGCCAGCTTGCCATCCAATCTAAGCTCTTTGCCTTTCCACTTCCAAGCCCGTTCGCTGGCCTATGAAATGACCAATTCCCTGCTTCGCACGCGAATGCACTTCATGATGGTAACGAGAATAATATATATATGAAAGATATATATATTAATTCCCAGATTTTCCTTCAATAGCATTGGCAGGACGATCGCCTGCGCTGGAATCCCGCCGACTATGGATATCTGGAATCCTTTGAGCATCGGGACTTGCAAGTATGGACACCGCACATGCGTGTCCTTAACGGTGCCCTGGACTCCATGGACGAGGTGTTGCGATCCTACGAACTGCGTGTCTTTTCGAACGGCAATGTCACTCTGTATGTGAATAACCTGCAGCTCACCAGCTGGTGTGTGGACAGTGCACGCAACTGGCCCAAGGAGCGTGTGACATGCGACATCGAACTGGGTCTAATCGGCCAGAAAGGTGACAACCAGGTAAATCTGGCACTAATCTACGATCAAAAGCACAGCCCCGTGGCACCCAATGAGCATGTGAACACACCGTCCGGCTGGACATTTCTCGACATATCCGTGGTCCAAGTGGGCAATGATTCGGTGAATAGATATACCCAGAAGAGCATGCTCCAGACAATGGCCGGAGATGTGGCCATTGAGTTTACCATTCAGAGAAATAGCAGTTTCTACATGACCGTGTTCTATGTGCCGCTGATTGGTAAGAGATATGTAACCAGCTTTATTTTATATTTTTAGTTAAATTATAATCCGTTATTGTCTCTTTCAGCCTGCCAGATATTTCTGATCTTGTCCTTCGTCCTGCGTTCTTCACGAAGAAGTGCTTTGATTCTCCTTGCCCTGTTGATCACCGCCTGGGGAATGATGTATTTGACGCGTCATGCCTCTCCGCATTATGTTCCGCCCATAAGTAAGCCACAAAACTAGTTCTCTTAATTATTAAATATAATATTTTCTCTCAGTGTCCGCCTACAAGGTGGTCATGATAACCACCAGCTACTGCTATATCCTTCACATTTGCTTGCTGTGGCTGGAATTGTTTCCGCCGAGAGCCAAGGCTCCTGACTGCCTAGCAGCCGTGATCAACTGCAATATCCTGCGCTGTATCCTGGGCCTAAGACTCGCCGATGTGAGTTCAGTTCATACTCAATTTCTGCAAAATATAATCTTAAATATTATATATCCCTTAGGCCAATGACTTCTGCGACATCCAGGAGAAACCCTGGCCTCATCTGGCCAAGATCTTGAACAACCTGAGTTCCGTTGTGGTCATCGTCATCTTTGCCGTCGTGAATATAACGAGTGGCTTGTGAAAAATACAATTTTTCCTTTATTGTGTTTGCCTTTGAAAGAATAATTAATTGTTTTTTTTTTATGGTTTTTCTTAAATAAATAAGAAGTAAACAGAGCTAGAACAGATCCTGGTAGGATGTGAGTGACTACTGGACTTGGGAAAGTGGTTGAAAAATACTAAAGGTGAACGTGCCTCGGCTGCTGCAACTCTACAGAACTCCCTCTGTGCTCCACCCGCTCCGGATCCGGGACTTGTAACTTGGACTGACTTGGAGCGGTTTTGGTATCAAACGCAGGCTTAGTGATAGCCATAGCCGTGGTCATCGTAGCCATGGTAGCTCAGGGAGGGAGCTGCATAGCTGATGGCCGGAGCAGCATAGGACTTGACCACCGCGGGAGCGGCATAGCTAATAGCTGGAGCGGCATAGGACTTGACCAGCGCAGGAGCAGCATAGCTGATGGCCGGAGCGGCGTATGACTTGACGGCAATGGGTGCAGCATAGGACTTGATGATGGGCGTGGCATGGGAGACAACCTAAACAGGGAAATGTATATAAATGATCAAACTACCTCTATGATCCTGATTGCAATCCCTCCTCTTACCGAGCTAAAATGGGAGTAGCTGGTGGCCGGAGCTGCCACTGCCTTGACCACTGGAGCAGCCACCGCCACAGGCGCCGCATATGACTTGACCACCGTGGGAGCAGCATAGCTAATGGCAGGAGCCGCATGGGCATAGCTGATGGCTGGAGCGGCATAGGACTTGATCACTGGAGCAGGCGCAGCATAGCTGATGGCTGGAGCGGCATGGGCATAGCTGATGGCTGGAGCGGCATAGGACTTGATGACGGGAGCAGCAGCCGCATAGGTGATGGCAGGAGCATGGCCATAGCTGATGGCTGGCGCCGTGTGCCCCAGGCCATAGTCCAGGAGACCAGGAGCGGCTTGGGCCACAGCCAGCAGAGTGGTGAGGATCTAAGGGAGGATAGAGATGTATCCTTTTAGCTAGGAATCCAAATGTGTAGAGTCCTTACTAGGTGACTTCGTCCTTGCATCAACTCACCAGCAGTTTCATGGCAGCTTTTGGATCGTCGGGATCTCGAATCACTTGGCTTGGCGGGAGAATAGCGACTGTAAGTGGATTGCGTGCGTTGCGTTACTTTTATACTGCCACGACCACGAGACGCACTCCTCCAGCGGTCGGACAGTGGACAGTGGACAGATCTTGACTAGATTTCGATCTGAGCGTCGTCGTCGGACAAACAGTCAGCAGAGTGAGCAGCAGTCAACAAAAGGGGGCCAAAGCAGCACCAATTTGTGAAGTATCTCGACTGTGCCGAAGTGAAACTGCAATTCTCGTCGAGAGTGGATGACGCAACGCGATCGGGGAGCTGGGAGCTTAGGAGCTTAGGAGCTTGGAGCTGCAATCTCTGAAGGCAGACCACTTGCCGGCAAAGGAGTCGCAGGAAAGGCGGCATTTCCCATCTCGGGGGAAACCTGCGATTGGAAAGCCGCGCCAGCTAATTGAATTCACTGATTAGAGCTGGCCAATTTTGGATGCCACACCCCTCAAAGGCATCCAGCCTTGCTCTAACAACTTAATTAGCCATTGGAGAATGTCGTCTAATTGTTTTCTATGCAATTCTTGTTGTAATTTTCGCTAGAATTCTCCAAAATCAATTTTCGGTGTTGCTGGGAAATTCTCCCCAAATTGCATAATAGACGGACGACGCTTGCCAAATATCTAGGCGAGATTTATCTTTTTATCGCGCCTCAAATGCCGCTGCGTGCCACATTTGACCATATTTGATGGGCGATTTCAGACTGGAGACGGCGATCGCCGAGCGTCGAGATGGAGTTGCAATCGTAGCCACGCCGTCTCGTCTCGAGGACACTTACTATAACTCATAGTAAATGCGAGGGGGGAGTGTCTATATCCACATCCCAGCCCCAGTTCCACTGCCTCACTTTGGAGGCGATGCGATCGAGCATCTGGCAGCTCGTGGGATTTTTTTTATTGCCGCCATGATTAACCCCCTGGGCTTGAGAGGGGAGTCCATAAACTTATCAAATATTTAAAGGGGTTAACTTGTAAAAAAGTTTATTCTTTTTGTCGATAAAAAGTATGTAGTTTTCCTTACGATATACATTCCTATCACTTTCCCTCGCGAACCTCAAAGGGTTAAATCTTATACTATAAAAAAATGTTCAAACAATTCATAATAATAACCTGAGTTTGGGGCATGCAACTTGGCAGTTTGGCACTTCAACCGGCTGAAGTTTCCTCTCGAGAGTGTCCGAGAAACGCCAGGGCAACATCTCTCAGAAGAAACACACGAAATATACACGAAAATACAAACACTCGTGGAGACAGCAGAGTCTCGGCTCAGATCATGCATATAAATCACGCCAATGGAATGTGATTTATGGGAAATCTATTAGCAAATATTAAGTCAATAGCTCGGCAATTGTTGGCAGTGCCTGGCCTCAGCCTGAGCCCGGCGACTGCCAAACAAGTGTTCCATGTCCAATTCGATGCGGACAGATCATTGTGCGAGTCGCTTTATAAATAAAAGATTAACCAGCAGCCACTGCCCCACATTTTTCCGTAGTGGAAAGCAATTTTCCAGATGGCGTGGAAGGGTGGCAAACTCGAATGCCAAATTGCCAAAGACTAAATGCCGATTTAAGGCTGTGTCTGTCTCTGTCTCTGTGTCTTCCCCTTTTGGCCAGGTTTTTGGTAGACATATCGACGCTTTTGGCTTGGCTGGACGGGCGTGCGCTCCAAAATGGGTGCAAAATGCCGTGGATTTTGGATGACGGGGCCTAATTAGCCACTTGGCCATAGAATCAATCGATTGCCCAATTCGAATGGCCAATGCCCAGCGAAACGCGCACCGCGCAAGCGCAGAATTCTTCGCGTTGCACGCGGCGTATGCGTTATTTTTGTCGATTCAATTCAATTAATTAACGCCGCCACATTTGACTTGCAAATGCCTAGACAAAAAATACATACAAAACAAAAAAACAACCAAATAAAAAACAGTTGCAAAATGGCAAAACGCAGGCTTAATTAAATCAGAAAAACAAACGACAAAATCAAAGAGCCGAAAGGAAAAACAAACTGAAAACTGTGTGGCATTTATGACGCCTTGCCTGAAATTTAATGAATGAATCGCGGTGGACATGGAAATGGATTTGATTTTCCGTCCCGTAAAAAATCTTGGAGCCTACAAAGTGTGACGTGAGCACTGGGAGGGAGATTTAGGTGGACACTAGAAGTAAATTCGATGCTAAAGATTAGGAATTGGTCTTTCTTATCAACGGTTTTTGTGCTTCTTTAGACTTTTATTATTTACTTTGTGGATTATTAAATATACAACTAATGGAGAAATTAATATTATTTCACTTTATTATATTCTAAGCTTTAATTTCTTTCTGTGCAGACCTGAAGCCATTTTGCATTTGGCAATTCCCCATTTAAAAGCAAACCAATGACAGTTTCCACTCGCATTTTTCTCGCCTTTTTGTTTGTATTTTGTCCCCCAACAGGATTTTTGGTGGTAAGTGGTTAGTTTATGGGATGACAACTGCATCGAGCGGTGATCGTGGTCGATTGTGAAACGTTTATTGCCTTGGTAATGGGTCAAGTTGAAGTGGGTTTCTGGATGGCAGTTTCTATAAGCTTTTGATTTTTCTATAAGTCAAAACTTTGATTGATGGAGTATTTACAATTCAGTGAACCTAAATTTCATTTAAAATTTTCCCTATTTAATTTTATTTTTTATGGATTTAATTCAAGCGAGTTTTTATGAGGAAAGCTCTGATTCGTTTTTCCAAGTTAAGAGCCAAGCTTGCCTTGGTGGCGCCTTCTGTATGTTATTTTGGGAAACACTGGTTACCTTATGTCAACACTAGATGTCGCTTTGTCATTTTAACTTATTAATAAAACTGTAAAAAATATTTTAAAGTCATACAAAATCTTCTTAATAAATTAAAACGGAATAAATGAAAACGAGTGCTTGAATATTTTTGTTAACAGTTTTTCAACATCAAAAATATTATAAATGGTCTTAACAATTATTATTATTATTATAAGTAGTACTAAGCTTGCTTTATTAATTTACTTAACAAAGTTAAGTTAAATATTTCAAAACTTAAAACATCAATATATACATATATGTTGTGTATATAATTAGTTTAGTTTGCTAAACCATTAATTACCATGACATCTATTTATAACTCTCTGCTTAACTTGAGTTTTTAATGCAAACAAATAGGTTGAATTTTTAAATAAAATAAGTTCCCTAATATATTCATCAATTTAATACCCATGATACATAACCATTAACCCCTCTGGTATTGATTTTCCCTCCTTATTTCCATGGAAAACGCATCGCTTCACCCCAATCAATAAAAAAAGACCCAGAGACTCTCGGATTCGATTAAAATTAGATCAAAGTCACTGGAGTTAATGACGTATGATAAATGCACACAATCCCATAGTATACATTGACGTATGTCGATGGGGTTACCAACGATTTGAAGGGGTTAAATGGCGGTCATCCCTTGGAATCCAACAGGTGGCCGAGTGGGAAGGTGGTTGTACCTGACTGACCACTGACCTTAAAAATCCTATTTTACAAACGCTTTCTCCCTTTTCTTTTAACAGGGATTGAAAAGGAAATCGAAATAAATTTAGGAAACTAAATTCTACAGTTTTCTTTATTTAAAATAGAAGCTCTACTGAACTCTAAAGCTCAAATTCTTATTTATTTAATTAAACAAACTCGATGGCTTAGGTGTCAAAGGCGGCACATTCATGATTCTTTTACTTTTATTCTCTGGTTTTTATTTACTTTGTGCGTTGTGCGCTTGTCAAGTGCAGTTTGAAATTCAAGTTGCCTAATAACTTAAAACCCCAAGCAGCTTTAATGGCCATAATTCGTCTTGGCCAAGTCTCTCTCTCTCTGAAGAAGAACTCAGAACGCACAACGCAGAGCAGAAGGTAAACTGGTAAAAGCCAAAAGGAGTGTCGTTGCTATTGCTTTTGTTGTTATTGCTGTTGTTAGTGCAGTGTTAATGTTAATGTTGTTGTTGTTGTAGCAGCACTATTGACAGTATTGATGGAAATTCTTTTGTGTTTTACAAAAAAAAAAAAAACGTATAAGAACGAAGAAAGTGAAGTCGGCGTGAAGTGAAGCAAAGTTTTAATACCCTATAATTTTTTGTTTAAGAATAATTAATTAAATTCTTTTAAGAAAAATCAAGGTATAAATTGTTTCAGTAAGAAATTCCAAATATACTTGTTTGATACATAATTTTATGATTCCTTTGGAATGGTATATTTAAACCTTTCTTACTTTTTCTGTACTTTGTGTTAATTAATATGGGTTTATTCATCGATAAATGTGGTAACAAATATTATATTAATAAATACTTACTCACACACCATTCCCTTATTTTATAGTGTATTTTTTTTTGGTGGCAAAGAAGAGACGCGCGCTGTTTACTCTTTCCTAGCAGCAAATGAAAGCCCAACGTGGTCCGTTGCTGGTGTCGCTTATGTGGACAGGTGCAGTGCCCAGGTAAATGCCGGTCTCTATGTGTATGTGTGTGTTTGCCTCCGTTCTGTTTCGAATGCCGCAGCCAATACCCCGCCCTATACCAATACCCATAACCAGGGCCCAAACCCATGGCCCCCGACTTCTGGGCCCAAAACGAACAGTTATGCAAATCGAGAAGAGGCGCACCTCCCACTTCCACTCGATACCTTAACTTCTCGTGTATTTTTTTTGTAGGGTTTTGTTTTCCCCTTTCTTATTATTATTATTTTTTTTTTTTGTTTATTTAGCGCCTAATACCCAAGTTTATGTCGCTTAATTATAGGCCCTAAGCAGCCGCCTTTAACATGCTAATCGGCAGCAGCAAACCCTTGTCATCCTTTCGGCGGTGTCGGATGACCTTCTTCTCATCAGTGGTCAGTGGCTCTAATGGAGATCCAACAGGGGGAAACTCTAGTAGCTTGGGAGCGGAAATCCGCGATGCGAAAGTCATCGTTTTGGGTAATCAATAGTTAGATCGATCCCACATCGATCGCTACCCCGACCTTATACGGCCAGCTATTAAGCGGATTTGGCCAATTCAGAAGCAGTCAGAATCGCCCCAAAGATCTGCTTTTAATAAGGTCTAAATAGCTCTCAGCTCAGAGCGATTAATTTGCCATAAAAGTTGTGCTTTAATTGGCCAACGAGTGGGAAGTTTGCAGCGATAACTAACGAAAGTGTTGGCCAAATGGAAACATTTTGAATATGAAAAAGAATCTTAGAAATATTAGTTACACTTGAAAAAGAATTATATATAAATTGTAGTATTGGTATGGAAAGTTTAAATTTTCCCCATTCTATAACATAATATGAAAATGCTGCCAAAGAAACTGACTGCATCTGACATTGGGTGATAAGAGTGAAAAAAGACACACATTTCCATCTGCACTTTGGCCTTTACACGAATTTTGAATGCCACATGGACTGCATTTAGGAATGACCAAGCTACCGAACAGGTGGGTAGCGGTGCTTCAACGTTTTCCGGTGGGCGGTTTTTCCGGTGGGCGGCTTTTCCGGTGGTCGGTAGTTGTCCTTCAGAGAAGTCCTTTCAACTCTGACATTAAGCGACCCAAATAAGTAAGAGTGGGAGTGGGAGCCTCGATTAAAACCACTTTCCCCGACGTATAGGTTGTCCAATCTGATTATTAAGAGTATTCATAATGCACTCCATTTAGCAGGTACTTTAATTGCATTATAATTAAGAGCAAGCTGCAGGGTTTTCAGATCGAATATTGAAGTAACTAACGCCCAGTAAATTATTGAAAGGTAATAGGAAAAATATACAATACTCAAAACAAAAATTATTATCACATATAAATTGTCTTATCGTTGCAATTAAAGTTTTAATTAATTGGCTATTTAACTTAAAAATTATATTTTATCAATATTCGCTTACAATTATCACTCGTTTACTCTTCCACTCAATTCTTTAAGCCCTCGATAGCGCTTTGAGTCTACTCAAGAGTAAGCAACATAACTTCAGTAACCCAGAGAGAGGTAGAGAGCCACACTTGTTGCGCTCAGAGAGAGAGAGAGCAAGCCAAACACCCAAGCAAAGCACAGTGGGGCACTTTGTCGGAGACCAAACAGATTTTCACTCAGCTGTAATTATGTTAACAAATCATGTTCGGCCAGATCTTTGCTTTGAAAGCTATATAATGTATTTATGCCACTCTAGAATACTTACGATACTGTATTATTATACTACACAATCGTAACTAAAAGTTTCTTGCCTACACAGCTCCGCTGAGAGCAGCCGCTCATTTTCTCTCTTCGTCCCACTGTAAGCGTCGACTATATAAGCTGAAGCGCACCGGTACTCGCGCTCAAATTTTGTTTTTTGCTGTGTCGTTCGTGTCGGAGTCGGAAAACTGAAAAGGTGTTTGTTAAATATTCGAAGAAATAGAAATATAAACCTATTTTGATTTGTTTTCAATGTGCCGCGTCCGTTTTAAATATCTGTCCAACTAAAAGTGTGTTTATCGTATTGTGAGTGCGTGCTATTAGAGTTTTTATTAAATGTACAGTTCCATAACCAGAGCAAGAACCGCAATAGAAAGAGGAACGGCAAAGAGGAGAAAGAAACAAGTGTTGAAACTGACCGAAAAATGTGAAGCTTCGGGCTTATCAGTGAGTGGAAATTGTATAAATGAGAAATGCAAACGAATTGAAGCGAATAAAGTGTAATAAATATAGTAGTGGCAAGTTCAAGCGAAATTCCAAACTAAGCAGTTTCTTTATTTGTTATTCTCCCCGCTTGCACTGATTATCGAAAAGGAAAGAAAAACAACTGTGTCTGTGCGCTTGCAAGAAGGAATGTGCAAGGCAAATAAAAAATAACTGTAAAACCATACGAGAGAGTGAAAAAGAGAGGGGGAATTGATTGAATTGTAATACGAGTAATTTAACCAAGTTCACTGGGCTTTTAAAACGCCCTAATGTCAAGGTCTTTGCGCTGGGTGAGATCGGGTTTAAGCTTTAGTCTTAATGGACTTGACCCCCATATTTTCCAGAGGGGGCTTAAGCCTAACGAAATCCGCAGCTAAAGTTACAAAAAAAAGAAACATACGAATATTTACTCAATTTACTCAATTAAAGTTGAGGGTTACTGGGCTCAGATTGCCACATTTTCACGAAAATCAATTTGTTATATTTAAAATGTTCAATTATGGTATATAATAAAAGAAATTATATTTATTTACTGTTTGTAAGCAAAATATTAGTTCAAACTTTTTACTATTTTGTATTAAAATAAGTTTCCACAAATGAGAATAGATATCGAACATTCATGGTAACAAAAACTTGTTAATTTTGAGATAATAAAAACGTAACAGCGTGTTTCTCATTTTAATAAAATCAATTCTCTCCCTGATTTTTTTTTAGAAATCTATATAAAAATCACCAAACGAAAGAAATAATGAAAGCAAATGAATAAAACCCTTAAAAGCCAACAAACGAAGTGCAAAAAAATTAAAAAACAAAACAAACAAATAAAAAAAGTTTAGCAACTGTGAAAACGACTTACGAATTTTCACAACAACTTGATGTTTTGTAACGGATTTTCTCGAAACTGGTAAAAACTTTATTTGTGGATTCTTCTGTAGCTGCTTCTTCTACGTTTTTGCTACTGCGGCAAAAATTAAATATATATTTTGCTCGTGTGCTGATTTTATTAATTTCTTGAGGAGAGAACGCAGACGATTCGAGGTAAGTTTTGCTAATTGTTGCTAAATTATTTGGTTGGCTATTTTTAAGGCAATATCTTTTGGGTGAATCATGCGAGGAATCTAAATCGGAAAGAGCCCGTGCCCTTTTATGAATCAGCTTCTTGGGGTGTCCTATGTATATACATACATCTCCAGAAAATGTTACTAGATTTTCTATAAATAGTTGATAATATCATGGGAACAGGTCTTTTTAAATTTATTAAATGGTATCTTTTTTTAAGATTTAAATACTAAAAATCTTTATCAATTAATCTCAATTTTATGTGTCGGCTTATCGTGCTGATCAAGAATATATATGATTTATAGGGTCGGAAATGATTCGTTCATAGCGTAATAAGCTTCTGACTAAAACTAGAATACCATTCTTTGAGTCAATATTTATCTACATTTTTATACAAGTTTTTCGCCCAATCAAAGTTTAAAAAAATCCATAAATTGTCCAAAAACGGTTTTATTTCAATTCGGAAAGCGTTCCTATGCTAGTTTTTATCAGTTTAACAAAACTGCATGCCCAATTTAACATATAAAGAGAGTCGATTTTTTGACAATTTTAATGATGTAACAACCCCTTATAAAATTTTGAAATTTTCGAAAATTTTTAATAAAAATAGATTTTGGCCGGAGTTGGCCAGACCGATTCGGGTGCTAATGCTGATCAAGAATATATATGACTTATAGGGTCGGAAATAATTCCTACACTGAATTTTAAGCTTTTGACTGAAATTTTAACTCTTTGCAAGGGTATGATGGTAAAATATAAAAGTGAAGCTTGTGAATTTTAATTAATTTACTTGCTATTCTCTTAAGCCTCTTTAAAATAAATTCTGTCTGCAAGTACTCTCCTATATATAGCAAAAGCTCTGTCACCTGTCTGTCAGATCGGGAAAGATCGAGTTGAATAAACCTCTAGACCAATGTATATATATATATATATTCAACCGCAACCGAAAGCGAGAGGCAGTGGCACCTGAACCGAATTCAAACCATAAACCAAAAACCGCTCAGATCTAATGCCGCTGGAATCGCACAAGGTTGTCCATATAGCGGACTCGTTTTTCTATTTTTCCAATTTTATTTTACTATTTTATTTTGTTCACCTGTGTGTCGGCTTTGAACTCGGCACCTGTTGCGGTCACAGTGGCGAGCGCGTACACTGTCAGAGAAAACGTTGGCCCGATCCAAATGACTGAGACTGACTGAAAAAAATGGTCTGTGGGAGAAGGTGCTCACTCTTCTGCCTATTTATGAGCACCTGGGCCTTCCTCATGCTGGTTGTCCTGGGCGTCTGCTTCTCGATCCACTCGCTGGTCCTTGTGGGTGACCTGCCACTGCCCGGAAGCTTTGCGGGTCCGGATGAGTTCAAAGAGCTTGCCGACGAGGCGTACTCCAAGGTGGCCATGCGCTGCTACGTCACCGGAATCGTTTACCTGCTCTTTGTGGTCATCTCGGCGATTGTCTTCCATAGGGACAACAAGCGGAGGAAGCGCCTGTACAAGAAGAGAAAACAACAGCGCTGATGTCGATGTCAAAGCCGATTGGTTGAATAAAAAATTTCTAATATTTCTCATTACTTCAATTGCATTTGGATCGCACCAGCAGCAGCAGCAGCACCCACTCCCGAGCAACTCCCACTTGTTAAACCAGATCGAGGCAAGGCCCAGAACAAGACCGAGAACAAGTTTGTTGACCGCATTCTGCGATTAGCCTTAGCTTCTTTATCATTTACCAACTGTGCCTCGGCGGCATTATGCATTCGTCTCGACCAGCTACGATTTTTGACAAGTCTGTCCCCGCCGCACGTGACACCTTTTTCTACCTTTCCCCAAAGACGAGGTGTGCTTGTTTCTCCTTCTCTTCTCCGTCAGCGGTGCCCCATAAATTTCCGTGAAATTCTCTTTCTTTCTGAAACATGCTAATGGGGTGTGGGTTCAGTGGGTTCTTATCGAGCTTTTCTTTTTTTTTTTTGGTGTTGTATGAACACGAAAACCGTTCTGTAAATTATCGTACACGTTCCCCCTAGTTGTAAGCACTGCATTTTGTGTATCTCTCTGGTTATCACCATCAAGTGCAGTCTGCAAGTTCACTAAAAACTGTCTCAAAAGATCCGAAAATCCATGATCTGATTTACATGGAAAATGTTCTGAATTACGTGTAATATTTCAAGGAAAACGCAGAACCTTCTTATATAGAAATCTTCTATTTTTTATTGGAATACTTCTTAAAGTTTTTTAGGTAATCAATTATTTGATTTCTTTGTCATATTTTAGATTTGTAGGTAACTAAACTTTTGGCTTAACTCAGCAACACTTGAGTTTCACAACGAATTGTGATTTTTAAGTTGGCCGCTTGCATAAAAATTTTCTATTTTATCAAACAATAAACACTTGGCAAAGGAAAGCCTTCTTTTTATCAAGTTTGCAAACGGTTTCCCCCGAGGAATACTGAAAAATTAAAGCAAGAAAAGCGCTACAAGGAGTCAGAAGTGACCACCATGTCCAGATTTCTAGCAGCCGCCACACAGCAGTTTCAAAAGGGATGTGAGTTAAAGACAAGGTTAAATTACATATTAAAGAAATATTTAAAACACCAAAGAAGAATAGCAATTTGTTAAGACTACACTGCACAAACATAAATCCAGTTTAGATTCTGAATTGTTCAATTAAAAAGCCCCCCCCACCCGCAGTGCGTTTTAGCCGCATGCTGATCCACAATACTGGCAAACAGCTAATGACGGCCAAGACGCCCACGGCCACCAGGGCCACGCCCCCACCGCCGCCCAGGTGTCCCGTTGGTGAGAAAAAGCCTAAGCCGGGAACTTTTCCTAGCGGCGGAAAGCATGCTACCTTCTGTGATTGTCCCAAGCCCGAGGGCGACTTCATGAGGGCCTGGTATGCCAAGAACAGTCGGTATAACCTCATCCTGATTTCCGGCGCTCTGGCTGCCTTTGGAAGCTGGGGAATGGCCATATCTTCAGGTAGAATTTGTTACAAATTATATATTTGTTAGCGTCGCGATTTACACCCCTGATCGCAGGCATTCTCGGCCTTAACTGGACCATACCTGAATATCCTTACAATGAGGACGAGATGGAGGACTTTGAGATGGAGGAAGAGCGGCGTCGCGAGGAGAAAGAGGCTCGTCAGGAGCGGCACCAGGATGCCATCGAGGCCCGAGAGCTTGCGATTCGTCGTCGCCATGCCAAGGAGGCCATGGAGCGGGAGGTGGACCTGATGCAGCGCGACATGGAGGAGGGCATCACGAATGAAGAGCTGGACGAGCTCCAGCGCCTGGCCGCCGAGCGAGAGTCCTTCGAGATATGGGAGAAGGACGAAATAAAGCGTCTCGAGGAGCAGCAGAAGGAGCGCGACCAGATACGCAAGGAGAAGGCCAAGGTCAAGGCCGAGCGTGACAAGGAGCGGGAGAAGAAGCACCGCGAGAAGGAGGCCCAGCTGGAGAAGGAGGAGGCTGAGCGTGAAAAGCTTCGCCAAAAGGCACGCAAGGAGCGCGAGAAGGCCGAAAAGGAGGCACAAAAGGAGAAGGAGAAGATCGAAAAGGAAAAGGAGAAGGCTAGGAAGGCCCTGTCGGGCTAGAGGCTCCTCTCTATAATTTACTATCACTTCCTAATCATCTCCATCAAAGACACAAATTCTCAAAGAAGTTTTACCAAAAATCACTTCAAAAACTCGTAATGTTTTAATAAATGAACATAAATTGCTGCTGCTGAACAAAAAAGCACTAAAAAATAGAGAAAAACATATCATTTTATTAACTCATTAAATTCCCCTTTAATAGTTATTAAAACAAGTGTAAAAACTAGTCCTGCAAAGCCTTCATTTCCTTAAACTAATTATGGGAAAAGCTGTGCCCATTTCAGAACCCCTCCCTAACCCATATAGGAAAAGTGAAGCTAATAATACATTTGCGAAAATAGCTACCTTATTAACTACTTAACTGGTCACATGAGGCCATTTCCACCTGGCTTTCGGCTTGGTTTTTCATTCAGTCAGAAGCCAGATTCTAGACTCCAGTTTGGAGAACATATAGCATGCACTTAGAGACCTCACTTCGTGGAGGAAATGGCTCATTGCATATAATCAAAGGCAGTGCCAGCGAAATTGTATCTCGTAGATACACCAGCACAGGGGAACTTTTCAATTGGGCCTTCAATTACAATGGCCACTTGTTGTTCTGCTCGCTCTAATAAAATAATGCTGCCTCTTTGATTCCACTCGGATCGCTCAGAATATATATATGTAACGTATGCATTTCCCCCTAATCTATTTAATGAAAATTCGCTACCGATAGATCCACAGATCTCTGCTAAGTGTGCCTGCCTTGTGCGCACATAATGAATCACAATCGTCGTCAGTTAAGTCCGGCTTATCATTAATCAAATTAGCTGCAGCAACATTGCCACAAAACACTTGCTTGTCTGCCACCGCAACTTGCAGCAATGCAGCACAGTGGGTCGCATGTGGCGAGCAAATTAACCATTACCATGTGCCACAAATGAGCAATTGCCCCTCGCTCTATTTTGGTGGAGAGGAGGGAGCGGTGAGGAGAGAAGAGCTTATCAAATGGAGTAGAACAATCAATTAGTGCAGACCGAGGCGAGGAAAACTATGGTTCAGTGGGGTTCAGTGACCCCCAGATGGAAGGTGAACTGAAAAACAGTGGGGTTAACCCAGGGCACATTTTCATTGCATCGTCATGGTTGTAATGGTGTGTTTTTTCGGATATATTTATTTGTTACTTTATACACTATAAACAACCTTGAATTCACAAAAGAATATGATTAGATGAAAAGTATATTCTATGAATTACTTTAAGGTATTCAAAGTTTTATGGTCATACCATTTACTAATCACATTTGAGATACATTATACAGAATACTAATAATATTAATAACCTTGCAGGGTATCACAATTTTAGTCAGAAGCTTTTTACGCTATGAAGTAGTCATTTCCAACCCTATAAATCATATATATTCTTGATCAGCATTAAAAGCCAAGTCCATCTAGCTATGTCCGGCCAAAATCTATTTTTTTCAAAAATTTTGAAATTTTATAAGGGGTTACATCGTTAAAATTGTCAAAAATTCGAACAAAAAATTGAATCTCTTGAAATGTTAAATTGAGAATGCAGTTTTATTAACCTATTAAAAACTAACATAGGAACGCTTTCCGATTGAAATTTAATGCATTTTTAACTGAGCTATGCTGGATTTTCTCTTCAAGGGTATACGAATTTCGGTTCTCCGAAGTTAGCTTCCTTTCTTTCTTAAACTATTTAAACTGCATAAGAAAATTAATTCCAAAAAAATTCTATAAACATGTAAACTCTCCTATTTGATATTATAATCAAATAATCCAATATAATATTTAATAGAAGATGTTACGTCTTGTTAGATAATTATCCATATTTCTGTCACCGCTGACCACTGTGGCCTTGCCCACACATCGTCGAACCGCTGAAGCTGGCTAATTTATCACTGGCATTCACATTCACATTCACGCTTCGGTGTGCTCTATTCCACCTTTATAAGTGTATATATGGGTATATCCCCCCATCCAGATCCATATCCATACTGTGCGAGTGACATTATTACTGTCACACTGTGTCGCCCGATGCTGCTCCTCTGCCGCTTTTATAATGCATTTATGCTGCAATTTGTTTGAATTAGCGCGGCAGCATCTTGGAGTGGACCCAAGTCTAGTCCGTGGTGGCGGAGAGTGGACCCAAAAAGGAGAGCTGCGGAGGCGGGTGGAGTGTCACCGGTTTTTGGTGCTATATATATATATATATCTTTTCTTTTGGGGCGTGTATGGCTCTATGCAGCAGCAGTCGAGACTGGTACGAGTATCTTATGCAAGCAGAGTTTACAAATATAAGGAAAAGAGATTGGTCTAAAGTAAAAGTAGCTGCATTTACCCAGTTGCAACACATTTTACGGAGCTGCGGAGAGTTGAAAGCTTCCGGGCAGGGGCGTTGCCCATGGAAATGGGATGAATGCAGCACCATCAGTGGCTTAAATCCCCTCTGAAAAAAAGAAGTATCTTAAAAATTTCCACAGTATCTAGAGCACAATGCCGTGAAATTCCCGAAAAAAAACCAACTCCAAAACTACAGCAGTTTTCTTTCTTTTTTTTATGTGTTTATTATCTCAGCAAATATCGGTTTTACAACCGAGTTTACAACCATTTCTAGATCGTGTCTTATCGTAGTCTTCATGTAAATATTTGCATCGGTGGCTTGTTTTGTTTTTTCGGGTACCTTGATAAGGTTTTACATCTTTAGAAGTAAAGGTGTGCTTGGTTCTTGTTATCTAATAATTCTGGACTTCCTTTCTGTTTACTGGATTTTGGGGATTTATGCCTTGCAGTCTCTGAATAATCATAAAATGGAGCATACTCTGAGATGATTTATGTCTTCCAGAATAACAGTCATCATAAATGAATCATATAAATCTGAGTATATTCTTGATGGCTCTTTAATCTTGGTACGTTCTTTCTTTTTCGTGTTTTTTATTATGTATTTAAAAAAAAAGAGGTGTTTCCCCGTTTTTTTCTTGTGATGGGTTTCCCCAGTATATTTTTTATGGAACCTTTCAATTTTATAAAAATATATATCTGCTAGATTTAAGACCGCTTAAAATCCATCAGAATAACATAGCCTATAGTAAGGTTACTATGGGCCTTTGGGGAAACTTTCCCCCTTCAAACTAATTTGAACTCTCACTTTATTAAAGTTTCGGTAATTAAACCAATTAACCAACAAGTTAATTAACCATTTTGTCTTTAAATAAAACAAAGAACTAATACAAAAAAGCTAGTAATCAAAGCTGGGGGAGAATTGAGAACTGACAATCGAGAACCGAGTAGAAATGCGAGCGTGCCAAGCGGCGTTTTGTATCTGGATTGAGGTCTTGCCACAGTTAGCCGACCGAAGCGCAGTTATACCAATTCTCCATAGCATTCTCAGACACACAGTGGGTCAATTCTGCACGCTCCACTCTCCGCACAAATCAATTTGTGGACTTGTTCTATAGATTCACTCGATTCTCTTGATTCCCTCTATTCTCTACCACATAACATATAATGTATTCTCCTCACGTAGCCTGACTCACTCGTATTCATATTTGTAATCATTGTAATGAGCCATTTCTCTAGTTACTTTCTTGCTTGCTTGCTTTTTTAATTAATTTTTCATTGCCGCCTTCTGTGTTCACTGTACCCCATGTACAGTGTTCAATCTGTATGCCTGACAGCTGCGGCTCAGGAGAAAAGAGCTTTTAATATTAATTCTTCGTTTCGGGGCTTTGGCTACGCCTCTTCTGTGTGGCCTCCGGTTTCAGCCTTCTTTCTGGCCAACAGCTTCGACTTATTTGCTGTGTGGCCAACGTCAAATTTCGTATTGAAACAAGAGACAGTGGTTCCAGATTTGATGGGAATTACATTTGTGGGGGATCAACTGAATTTCAAGTAATCTAAGATTGCAGGTGGATTTATAGAGGTTTTCTAAGGTTTATTATAAAGAAAAGTTAAGGATTAGTGGAGTAGAGAATGCAATGAAATTCTTTACTTAAGTAAGGTTTTAAAGAATTTAAAATTCAATTTGAAATGATTTGTTGCATTCTAAATTTTAGCAGAAATATTAATAATTTATATTAAAGCTACTGTAGAGCATTGCTGTCTTACATTTTCTAAAATATCTTCTTGACTCCTTTTCAAGCCTTAAAGAACCACTGTCCATATCCCTGTCTTGGCTCTGAGCTTTGTTATAAATTAAATTATTTTTCATGGCCATATATCTCGCCCATATTTATGTTCGTACATACATATATGCTGTATCTTTTGGGGATATCGTTACACTAAATTGTTATGTCGGCCTCCCGAAATGGCAAGAATCCCAAACATGCAAGAAGAGAGGGCGTAAGCGATTTGTCTTTTGGTTAATTTTATTTTATTTATTTTTTCCTTACCGGCCCCTTGAGCCAAAGTACCGCTAAGGCCGCCGCCTTCTCCGATCCTGTTTCTTTATATAAAAACATTTTTAAAATTATTTTTCATTCCCTGGTAATAAAGTAATTAAGGCCCTGAGACACTGTTCAATATTTCATCTCTCTCGGCGGAGATTAATTGAGGCTGCGACCAGGGCACGCGGCCTTTACGATCTGATTTGCATTTAATTGGACCGCAATTCGCATGATTATGATTATGATTATGAACCGAAAAACGTATCAATTTTCGCTTAATTTTGGCATTTGCTAAATGCAGCACGAAAATTGTTTTCTTTTCTAAAAAAAAAAAAACCAGCGAAAGCAAAAAAGATAAACAAAAAAAGTGAGAGAGCCAGATAATGAGCGCAATAAAAACCATTTGTTGATGACTTTTAAATAAGCAATTTGTTGTTGGGTTTTGCTTTCTGAAGAAGACGAAATCTGTTGCAAGTGCACTGGAAGGAATATATATCTATAAATGGGTAAATGTTAAATATTTAAAATTAAAAATAATCTAATATTTAAATATAATTCCGTGGACTTTAATAAATTACCAATTTCTTAAACCTTCAACCTTGTAGGTATTATAACATCAGTCAAGAGCTTGAAACGCAGTGAAGGAATCATTTCCAACCCTATAAATCATATATATTCTTGATCAGCATGATCAGCCAAGTCGATTGAGCCGTCTCCGGCCAAAATCTATTTTTTTTCAAAATTTCCGAAAATTTAAGAATTTTATAAAATT